AACTCTGCCTCGTACTCCAGCTGCGCCCTGTGTGCTGTTGTGTGGTCCTCGACTCGCAGTCACCAGCCATCTCCCAATTGTGGGCGAGAAACAAATCATGGAGCTTCAAGCGGTTAGATCTTAACATGCCTCCCCTCTCGCTCCACGGCTTTGACAAGGCCCTTATACGTCTCTTCCCAACTCTCCTTCTCATCGCCTTCCCCATCGGCCTTTGTCTCCTTTTCCTTGCCTTCCCTCCCAGCTTTCTTTCCCGCGTCCCTACTCACCATTACAACACTTGTAGGCCGCTTCGTCAGACCTGCTGTACCCAACTCCGCACGACTTGTCACGTAAATGTAGGGGACGTTGTGGTCTTCGGATAACACAGGAATGTGGGAGATGACATCCATGGGGGAGATATCTGCCGCAAGAATGACGACGCCGTGGGGAAGGTTTTCGGTAGAGGAGGAAGTCGGGGACTTGCGAAGGGCTTTGACGACTTCTTTGACGCCGCGTCTCAGGGTCCGTTGCGAGGCGGCTGGCGAGATAACCTCTGAGTTAGTAGAGTTGTGAAATCGCAAGCAGTAGCTAGAGACGGGGGGAAGGGTGGGAAGCAATAAATCACCTTTTTTGACACACTTAAACACCTTCTTGGCCACCTTCTCGTCCGCCAGGGGATTCGCAAAGGGCACCAATGCCCCAACAGGTCGTGTAGCGAGGATTTTCTTCTTTTCCTCAACAATGCCTTCTTTCTTGGTTGATTTTTCCGAGTCTTCCTCTTTTTCTTCACCCGCCTCCTCGACTTTCACACCATTCTGCTCCTCCATCTCCTCGTCCTCGTCCTCGTCCTCACCACTTTCCTGCTCATCCTGGTCCTCTGCTTCTGACTTTATTTTCTCGTTGCCCTTGCCCTTAAGCTCACTCAACGCCTTCTCTGCCAGCACCTTCCTGGCCGTCTTTTTCTCTTTGTTTTCTCCTTTGGCCTTCGTCACTCCAGTAGGACCGGCACCGCCAGCTTTTGATGTCGCAGCAGCTTGTTTCTTCGCGAGTTTTTCTGCCTTGAGGGCCTTTTTCTCAGCTTTTCGCTCAGCCTTGCGCTCAGCTGTGGCCGATTTGTCTTTTGCCATTTTTGCCTTTGTTTGCAACGTTGAGGCTTGATTACCGAAGATTTGAGGAGAGCGTCGTTCACGAATTTCCTAAGGTAATTCGAAGCTGGCGGCGACGTCCAAGTAAAGAGGTTCGTGGAGGCGAAAAGGGGGAGCAATGGGCGACGCAAATAACAGCTAAACCGTAGTTGAGGGCACCAGAAAAGATGCAAAATAAATTTAGTTGGGCTTCTCCGCACGTTGAGTGACGAACAATCCCAATCGTGGTGCTGGTACCTGTACCGTGGGTGCAGAGCCCTCCCCACGTGACCGCAACCCGTTGTTGGTCCAGTTGCCAAGAGGTTGCCCGGCGAATAGCGCTCCAGAGCCGCTCTGAGGAACTTTTCCATTTTGGAAGTCTTTTCTTGCAGAATCTTGGCGAGGTCAAGGTCAATTCATTCATGTCCGAGATTTCAATGACGAATGCACGAATGTATCTCTATTCATTGGCATGAGGGGACCAAAACCCCATGTAATACCCAACATTTCGATGTCCGCATAAGCCACCTTTGTTGTCAAATATCAACCACTTCTCCCACATTGCGAGACCCTTGCAGATGACTCGCCTTGTCTGAAATGAAGTGCGCCGATCCATGGACATCTAAAGACCTGCCACATCGGTCTGTTCATGATCAAGAAGGACCAAAACTCCAAGCACGTCGTATCATAACACTGTTCTCTGTCCGTGATTGATGCTACCTGCTCTGAAGACGGCCGCCAGATTATCTACCCAGATGCCTTCCCCAGTTCCCCTTGTGTCCCAAGCCCAAAGCAGAAAATGGCCGAGACACAAGGAGGAATTTGTGGCCACGCACACATACATCGTCTTCTGGAGATCTGTCGCTCCTTCGCGCACAAGAACCGAGTGTATTGCTGCTCATCAGGATGGACTATGGCTTCCACTTCCCTGCGTCTACTTCAAGTCTGAGTCTCTTTGATATACTGGTTCGTGGGACCAAGTTATTGGCGTGTCCGAGCGCAAGTTGGAAGCGCAAACCGAAGATATCAGAAGGATTGTCATATCGCTCTACAGGTTGATGAGGACAGAAGGTAGGATTCAATCGGCAGAGTCTTCGACTCGTTTCCTGACGATCTCCGAATATAAGCAGCACTTGAGAAGTTCAGAGGAAATCGACAGATGCTTTAGTATCTGTCGATCGCTTTGTGAGGGTGATCGGGACCGTATCAAAAGATTCCCTCAACCAGAAGAATGCATCATCAGGATCGCCGGAAAATTTGGGGCAAAGAATAGGTCCAGGAGCAAAGGACAGTGGTGGATCAAAGAACAACTGACAGTCCAGGAACAAAGGACAGCCGAGGGAGCAACGGACGGCCAATCCTGGAGTAAAGAACCAGTCCAGGAATGGCTACCAAGCTCGGTGGTGAGTAGGTTTGATGATAGTGATGGACACTCAAAAAGTCTTTAGCAGGCCAGCCATTGGACAAACTTCCCAAACAACAGGAAGCGAGCACGCTGAATGACCTCTTTGCCCAGATGTCGTGGAGAACCAGAGCACTTCGCCCACACGGTCGAGTCAGTCGCAAGCATGTCTATCGCCAGGCGCATATTAAGGATCGTATTGGTTAGCTGTCACTTGATAACACTTCTGCGATGGTTTCGAAGAACAAAGGACATCATTGCAACAATCCAAATATCACGCCCAGTCTCTGGTCTAGGAACAAAGGACAGCCCAGGAAAGGATAGTATGGGAACAAAGGACAGTCCGGGACTCAATAATCAGCATCAGCTAAACCACTATCACATTGACAATCACATTGAGACGCAGCCAGTCCGCCTGCTCCTGGTGACTTCTGCGAGTTGGTTCCGCCCTGTGTAACATTCATCGCTGATCACCGATCACTTCGCCCTGCACTTGAAGCAACTTGAGCGATTTCTTTTTTTGCAACTGTGGCCGCGGATTTTCAACGCCACGGCAACTTCTCTAGCGCTCATTGTGTCAATTCTTCTTTGTTCCCCAACTGTTTATTGTCTGTTGCTCTCAGACTGCCCATTGTCTCTCGGCCATCCTCTCCTCCTAGGCCAACAGTCCTTTATATTCCTAGACTTTCCTTTCCTAGACGTCCATTGTCCCTGGACCAGTCCGTTGCTCCTGGATTGACCTTTGTTCCCGCACTCGCTCACGCTGATCAAGCGACGGAGTCTCTCGAGCCGACTGCGGTTTGACCCCTGGACTCAATCCTCTGCCTTGTCAAGGGATGCTCACAGCAGCACCTCGTATATGCTTGTCGCCCAGAAGAGACGGCCTTGGAACTCGATTTTTTGTCCAATGCACCAGCGCAAGGCGAGGAAACTCTGCTTGCCCTTTGTTACACACGTGGTTTGCTATGGACATATCGGTTCATTTCAAGCGGCTCTCCATCCTTCTGGACGATGCATCGACCAGACCTGCCGCTCTGGAACAGGCCAAAGGAGGCGACTGGCGTGTTGATGCCCAAAATGAAGCAACCAATGAAGTTGACATCTGGCCTGAAGTTGGGCATATGTGCACTCGAACTGACTGACCTTGGGCAGACATGCGTCCGGCCAAATCGAGACTGACCCTCGGAACTGCTCTAATGCCACCACCCAATCAATCGACGACGGCGGTCGACTCTACGAAGCGCAGTTAAAGGTGCTGCGTGGGACAGTTGTGATGGTCTAATGAATGGCCATACCCTGTCTGGATCTTTTGACAACAGCTGATGCAGCCACGACACAGTGAGACGAGGTGCTGCCCAATATGACCGGATTCTGCGCAAGTGCAATCGACGAAATAGACAGGAAGTGCAAGGAACTACGAGCCCTCCGATTGCGATGAAGACTGGGCTCTGCTTTCCTCAGGCAGAACGCTTTCTCAACCAGGGTCACCAGACCATCTGTAACCATTGGCCCTTCATAGCTCATGGACCTCACCCTCCTTTCAGGGCTGAAGTATTCTTGCGCTACCCACTCTCTACGGCAGGCTTGACTAATGTACGTGTCCATTGTTCCAAGCTATCAAATCTCTGCGGACGGCCCACGAATGTGGAAGGATCTTCACGTGTGTTGCTTGATTTCAGCTTTGCGATTCGATGGGACGGTCATGTCACACGGTCGAGCGATTCCTTTGTCCCTGTCGCTTCGGGATCGTTTCAACTGGGAAGGGAACAAGAAGATGCTCGAGGGAAGTGCTGGTCACCATCGGCGATCTTGCGGAGCGGCCCTCTTCCTGTTTCCCCGAGGGAAGTGGGCGTGTAAATAAAGACATGGCTCTGTTTGAGCCATTCAAATTGAAAGTGGGCTCGCTTATAAGCTCTCCCCCGGGCTGCGAATGGGTAGGTTCACCGCAATTCTTTCTCGATTAGGCTTGCGTTCGCAGGCGACGGATACAATGTACAAGAGATGGAGGCAGACGGATCTCCGGACACTTACTGAGTAGACTCGCCCAAAGCCTTCTAGAAAACCTCGCGCATGAAATAGAATGATATGTACAATTGGGATTCAAGGACAAAGCTTTAGTGCCCAGTGACAACCTGCACGTTACATGGGAATTGAAGCTCTTGACTGAGAGAAAGTGTCCATCATGAAGAACGTTCTATGAGGGTAGAATCTAGGGTGAATAGAAGGTCTCTCCTGAATGCTGCCACCTTTTCCAGCCTGTCGCAATGACAGCGATAGATCGACAGGAGGATCATCAACAAATCACGTCAATAATGTGACAGCCAGCACCAGTGCAATGTTGGTCGGTCCGATTTAATCTGTAACCGACAAGCTCTCGCCCTGATAACCACTCAGCCATCAAGGAGACCTTGAACAGACACAGTGTGGTCAAGATGCGAAACTTTGCCCGTGGATCGACGCGCCAAAAGTACCTCGAGTCATCCCATAACGCCATCTCAGCCCAAGCCTCGCCGGGAGAGCGGCGCGGCTTTTTCTGCTGTTCTTCTGCCTCCTTCCCAATTGCGCCAGATGGCAGCAAACTCGAACGTCTTTGGAGCGGCGGCAGGCGGAGTATTAGGATAGAATACCATTTCCCATGAGACTCTCAACTTCAAGTAACTGGTGCCAATAAACTTGAATGACAGCTCGTACTTGCCATTCGTCGCTCCCGAGCTCGCGAGTTTCCTGGCTCGCGCGCTTCCGAGGGCAGAATGCCCCTTTGTGGCAGTTGGCATTTTTATCGACATACGCGTCGCTGCAGGACACGTTAATCTCGCTGCCAGGCTTCAGTAGGTGCGGACCGGAAATGTCCGTGTCGTCAAGGTGGTAAAACACCACCCGTTGAGCCTCGAAGAGAGAGATATCCGAGTAGAAACTGTCAAAGTGATCGTTGCAGAACAACCGGAAAGTCTCGCCAGTAAGTAGTCCGATGGGGATTGTCTTGCGTTTCCTCTGGGTCAGTCATTCCTTCTCCTTCCGCTCCCGTAGCTTCTCCAGCTTCCTTTCTTCGCGAAATTCTTTCAGCTCGTAATAGTACTCGGCATCAGACCCGCGGTAAGATCTCTCCGGCCGGTCGTCTTCTTTGTCCTCTCCCAGCTCTGACAGATCCTCGCCAAAGTCGTAGCTTGTCGCTACTCGGTTCTCGTCGATGCTGATCCCCAGGAATCGATCGTACTCTGACGGGAGATCGTCGCGGTGTCTCTGCACGCGACGAGGCTTCTCAACATGCGAAGCCCGTACCTGCGGGGGCGCCCCCGCTTAGCTGGCTTTGCCCATTGTCGAAATGATTCAATTGCAATGCCCCTGCTTAAATATCACGTGATGCGAACCGCTTACAGAGCTCCAGTATGAGAAGTTGTCAAACTCGTTCTAGTGATGTCCGGGGGCAATGCAGGAAAGCTTATGCAATATTGAGATGCAGGGAAGGGAACAGGCGCCGTGGGGAAGAAATCAAATCCTAAGTCGTTGCTAGGAAGGCATGGTAGAAGTTGTGCGAGAATCCGCTTCTCCGATGGAATCGCCACGAAGCTATCCCATGCAAGGCTACGCGTCAAGAAACGCGTCAAGAACTTACGCTCACTATGAAGCACAAGGCGTTCCGCGGTCAGGTAGCTCGGCTTAGCTCCACGCTGTGTTTGCGACGAAAGCAGCCGCACCAGCGTCCTCTCACACCTCAAGTCGCAATTCAACAGCGAAATTCACAGTGGAAAGGGAGGTCTGAGCTCTCGGCATGGCGAGCTGCCTAACGCAATCACGTTGGATTCATTCCACGCGTGGACCATGTGGCTGGCGAAGACGGTCCAAATTTCATCCGAACACGGTTATCAAGTGGTCCGCGTCAGCTGGCGCTTGGTCGGTCGGTAGCTAATTTACGAGACTCGTCGTTCCCAGTATCTGTTCGGGTCGAATGTGGAGTTCATCTTCTAGCTCGACCAGCCATGCCGCGCGTTGCACATCTTGCAGGCAGAGCCCGCTATTGCTAGCACTACAAAGAGTTGTGCGGTCGGAACAGCGGGATTAGCAGCCATTGACAGAATTGGGTCGCTTGTTGAATCGCGGAGAACGAAGAGGTCATACAGAAAGTCGCAGTCATGGCCCAAGAATTCAACTTCAAGCTTGATATCGGGCTCGCTCTTCGCACATTTCTCTATTCTCAGTTCCTGGACACCCCCCCCTATCCGACAAAGTCGTTCTCCGACCAGGTCATCATCGTCACTGGCTCCAATGTTGGTCTGGGATTTGAAGCTGCCCGACACTTCTACCGTCTCAACTGTGCGAAACTCATTCTCGCCGTGCGGACGATCTCCAAGGGCGAGACTGCGAAAGAAGATATTGTCCGAAGTGTGAGACACCGCTCTGATGGTGCAGAAGCGATCGATGTCTGGCCCCTGGACCTTTCGAGCACAGAGAGCACCTTAGCGTTCGCTGATCGTGTGAAGAAAGAACTGCCGCGTGTCGATGCTGTTGTAGAGAATGCGGGCATCAACAATCAAAGCTGGGTGGTCTCCGAAGGGTTCGAGCATACCATCCAAGTCAATGTCGTCAACACTCTCCTGCTCGGCATGTCGGTGCTGCCCAAGCTGAGAGAGACGAAGCGCAAATTTCCCGACTCCAGCCCTCACTTGGAGATTGTCAGTTCCGAGGCTCACCATTTTACCAGTTTCAAAGAGGTCAATGCCCCAGACATTTACGCCGCTCTGAATGACGAGAAGAGTTCGGATATGCTCGCCAGGTGAGTTTCTCAAACGGCGCGAATGTATCACCCACTCCGGTTGAGCCATCCGGGACCACAAGGCTTACACGAGAATGTACAGATACCCAGTCAGCAAGCTCATTGGCATCCTGTTTATCCGTGAACTCGTTCTACGCCTCCGAGAGCACGACAGATCCAGAACTGTGACAGCGTCGCCTATTACTATCACCTTGGTCAATCCGGGCTTATGCATGTCTGACTTGGATAGAAATGTGATACTTCCTGGCCGAATTTTGATGTATATCGTGCGCTTGCTGCTTGGAAGATCAACGGAAGTGGGTTCTCGGACGCTGGTATACGGCGCTTGCGCCGGGCCCGACTCTCATGGAGCCTTCATGTCGGATGGGAAAAATCAAGAGGTTGAGAAATGGATCTATTCGGACCTGGGCCAGAAGGCGCAATCCAAGGTGTTTGAGCAGACAATGAAAGTGTTGGAGTCGAGGAGGCCGGGTATCGGCGCGGAAGTCGGGTTGTCAGCTTGATGATGGTCTCGACTCTCAGGACTCAGGAGAACAGGTATAGATCCTTGTCTATCGAGCAAATCGGGTGGTGGGTTTCTGGAAGCATTCACCTGGACCATCGTCTCTCCCTTTCGAACCGAGATTACCACATCGCCATCTACTTACCGTATAGAATCCACAATGGAGTCCATACTTACAACGTGAACGGTTCATGATTGGCGGCTGGTCAAAGGATTCTCAGCCTAGACTTGAAAGGCGCCGTGATAACCGATCCTGGTCCAAAAGAACGAGACCATCAGACGTGCAGCCAAACATATCTTGTCACCTTTTTCCACGACCGTACATCTTCCCGTTCACTCATCCCGTGTATGACACTACCATGAATCTGGGCTGCTCTTCACCCCCGTACAATTTCACACAATGGTTGTAAGCGCTAACTACACCAGAACTTAGGGGAAGCGATACCATCGCCTCTGCCTCCAGGAGGATTTAGCCTGGCAACACGGTAGCAATAATATGAATCCTGACGCGTCTTTAGCATGTCGACAGCTGTTCTTGGAGCCACCTCTCCGCACAATACTGCCGGACTTACTGGGCTAACATATTAGAACGATGTTGCTCACGTTTAACCTCTCTGTGTGGGGTTTGCGTGCAAAGAAGAGTTCGGGGACGTGTACACAAGAGAGGAACAGTTGTGTCTAGCAACCATGTCGCGCAGGATCGACAGAATCCCAGAGAATCCTTCTTCGCTCAAGGTCAAACTCGTGGTCGCGAGCTGTAGTCGGTAAGTTCATATCCTCAATGAGGTCAAACCCAGCAACTGCAATGCTGTTTCGCTAAAGAGAGTCCACTGGTCCACTAACACTTCGCCTCCATCTCCAGCACAGCAACATTGGGCGTCTACCAAGCCCTTAAGACACTCGGCTACAAACCATACCACATGTACGAAATGGCCGTCTACGGGGGAGACACCCACTGGGAAATCATGATGCAAGGCTTCCGTGCCCAACACGACCGCTGGTCAGGCATCCAGCGCTATACCAAGCGAGAGTTCGACAAGTGGTTCGCGGGGTACGACGCCATCGTGGAAATACCTTCGTATTTCGACACTGCGTGCCTAGAAGCGTACCTGGAGGATCCCGAGGTGAAGTTCATCCTCACAGAGCGCACTCCACAAAGCTGGGCGAGATCGTTCAACGGCTTCGTCGGTAAGATTGTGACCGGCGTAGAGTCACCACCGATGAACATCCTCCGACACTTCAACCGAACGCTGAACTATTTTTGCCTGCTGAACATCGACTGCTACGACTACTGGAGCGATTGCTCGCGGCTCAAGGACGCCCGAAACCAAGAATATCTGATGAGGAATTACGAGCATTATATCCGAAGCGTCAAGAGGTTGATCCCCTCGGACAGGATTCTCGTGGTGAAGATCGAGGATGGGTTGGGATGGGAACAGATCTGTCCGTTCCTGGGTAAGGAAGCACCCAAGGGAGTCGAGTATCCGAGAGGAGTCGAGCACGAGGATGTCAAGGACAGAGTGCTGCTGCCATTGCTGAGAAACGCAGCGATGAAGCTAGCGTTGACTGTGATGGTGCCGATTGCACTTGGAGTAGGGGCGTGGTGGAAGTGGTCTGGGTCAAGTTGAAGAAGGGTGCCAACGTAAGCTGCTGCTCGAAATAGAGCAATCCTATCCATATAATCGAGAAACGTCGTCGGTGCCGTCCACCGTAAATGGGACCTATCCTACCTAATACCCAGCTCACCAGGGGCGTACTTGAGAGAATACTCGCTGGACTCGGCAGACATTGCCTTGTCAGACCGTAGCCACGTTTTCTTCAGTGGCTCTTTCTCGCAGCCCCATCCAGAAGAGGGCTAGCGCGGCCTTGGCGCGATTCCAAGTTCTTCGCCTCCCCTGCTTCTTCAAGCTGCACCCCCGAATTCAACCACTGCGACTTTGGACTGCATCGACAACGCCCTCAGTAGGCAGCGCATCATCGGTTGTCGTGTGTGTCCTAATACTCTTACCCTTGGTTCTGCATTCAACATGTCGTGGCGCAATCAAGGCATCACAGGTTCTAACAACATCCCCCTTGGAACGCGTCGTCGGCTTGGAGGCGAAGGCGATGGTGACTCGCGAAATGATAGCGCTGCGAGCTCTCCGGCCTGGGGTGACTCGAGCAAGCGTGGGCGAAGTCCTCCCAGAGGTACATCGTTCGAAACTGAACGCATCCATCTCACTAACGATCCCATAGCTGACCCTACGGCCGACGGCGTCAAGAGGCGTAGAAAGCGCAATCGCTGGGGTGAAGCCGGTGAAAATAAAGCAGCAGGCCTCATGGGCCTTCCAACCATGATCCAGGCGAACATGACAGCAGAACAACTCGAGGCGTACGCCCTCCATCTCCGTATCGAAGAGATCAGCCAGAAGCTGCGAATAAACGACGTGGTCCCTGCGGAAGCAGACAGGTGAGTTGTCCCCTCCGTATTCCACAATATCATTTCTCTACAGAAGCTAACGACTATCAGATCGCCATCGCCGCCACCTCAGTATGACAATTTCGGCCGTCGTGTCAACACTCGCGAGTTTCGTTACCGCAAACGGCTGGAAGAAGAACGCCACAAATTGATTGAGAAGGCCATGAAAACCATCCCCAACTACCATCCGCCTTCTGACTACAGGCGGCCTACCAAGACACAGGAAAAGGTCTATGTGCCGGTCAACGATTATCCCGAGATTAACTTCAGTATGCTTACTAACCCTATAACTCTGCTACAAACCCCCTTGTTTTGCTCGCTGTTCCACATGCTGTCGTCTGCTCTTCGAGATCCAGGAGGTAGACGTAGCATTCTACACTAACCATTATCTTTTCCATCTCCCTGAGACGTACTTTTTGATTTCGAGAATTTCATACTAACACTTAGCTTCTTTTTTTGCAAAGTCGGACTACTTATTGGACCTCGTGGCAACACCCTCAAGAAAATGGAATCCGAGTCAGGAGCCAAGATCGCCATTCGAGGCAAAGGCTCTGTGAAAGAAGGCAAAGGACGATCTGATGCAGCTCATACTAGCAACCAGGAAGAGGATCTACACTGTCTCATCATGGCAGACACCGAAGAGAAAGTCAACAAAGCCAAAGCATTGATTCACAACGTCATCGAAACAGCAGCATCCATCCCCGAAGGTCAAAATGAACTCAAGCGAAACCAGTTGCGCGAACTTGCCGCGCTCAACGGTACGCTCCGTGATGATGAGAACCAAGCATGTCAAAATTGTAAGTACATCGCCAGCTGTTTGACCAACTCGTACTGACACATTCAGGCGGGCAAATCGGCCACCGCAAATACGACTGTCCCGAGCAGCGCAACTTCACGGCCAACATCATCTGTCGAGTCTGCGGTAACGCTGGCCACATGGCGAGGGATTGTCCAGACCGACAGCGGGGCGCCGACCCGCGTAACAACATCCCTGGAGGATTCGGCGGGCCACAGCGTCGCCTGGGCGCTGCCGATGCTGTCGACCGAGAGATGGAGGTAAGTTCATTCGCATTTTCCTCTTCACATGATCACACTATCTAACACTCTACAGAATCTCATGCAAGAGCTTTCTGGCAATGCATCTGGGAACGGTCCTGCAGGTCGCATCGAAGCTGCACCTGGCGCCTATGATCAGGGTGACTCGTACGCAGCTGGCGGCGATTCTCGTCCCTGGGCACGCCAGCCGACTGGTGGTGTTGCTCCTTGGCAGCGGGATCGACAAGACCGACATGAACGAGACTACGCCCCGCGAGATTATGGCCAACGAGATTATGGCGATCGAGACTATAGCCACCGAGACGGCGGCTCGTCACTCCCGCCGTGGGCCCAGAGTCGAGGAGGGGATACACAAGGAGGATACGGTGCCGCACCCACTCAAGCAGCACCCCCCTGGCAGCAACCGCAACAGCAGCAACCACCTCCGGCACAAGGCTACGGGTATGGCGGGTATCATGGTTACGATGCTCAACCTGCATACGGCGTGCCTCCTCCACCGGCCGCCCCTCCTGGACTGAGCTCTTTCTTGCAGCAGTACAGTGGTACCGCCGCTCCCCCTCCACCACCAGATGTACAAGCTCCCCCTCCGCCGCCGGATCAACCTCCGCCACCGCCAGGCATGCGTGATTACTACCCACCACCACCCCCTTCGGCATAATATGTTGGATGGTCTATCAGCTTCAAATTCAGAATGTGCCAAATGTTGGGAGGGATTGGAAACAAAAGGAGAGTGGGATGGAGACAACTTGAACAGGAATTGGATTCAAAAAACATGGGAAAATTGAACTGCTTACGTGGTAACTCGGCAAAGGCGAGGTTGTTGTTATTGTATATAACCAGATAGGATTCATTACCAGCGCTTCAGTGTAATCACATTTTGTTTTCTGCTCGAGTCTACTCCGCTGTTGCTCGCTCGATCATTTTTGGCCCCTGACAGGCTGCAGCGAGGATTTCGATTACGTTCCTCGGTTGGCGCAATTGGACCAATCGCAAGGCCCGAAACTGGCATGGACCAACTGCGCTCTTGGCATTAAATGGCCGTCTCGCCGTCTTCAAGAGTTTGTTCAAGTCCATCTACAACTCCTTTTCCTCATCACTTCTTGCAGTGTTTCCATTGATCTCTCTTCTGACCTCGGTCTCCCAAGCCAATCTTCCACTCGGACCATCCCTTGATCCAAGGACACCACAAAAATGCCTCGTTCTCGTGGAGGTGCTTCCCGACCTGCTCCGTCGCGACCGACAGCTCCGGCTCCAGCTCCTCGGTCGGTAGCGCCACAGCAACAACAGCGTCCTATGTCCACTGCTGCCCCGACCGCACCCGTTCAACAGGCCCCTCCTCCTGTTCAAGCATCGCAAGGTCCCGGCCTCTTCGGCCAGATGGCCAGCACTGCAGCGTGAGTGACTTTTCCCCGGGTTCTGGAGATCCGCCACACGTTATGCGCGGTGGAGACGGATGGATTGCCAGAAAGAAAAAGAAAAAGGGGAACGCACAGAGAGAGATTTTTTGTCTGTTTATGATTCTGTGACTAATCTGTGCGCGCAAATGTAGTGGCGTCGCAGTCGGATCCTCAATCGGCCACGCCATAGGAGGTCTGTTCAGCGGCGGCGGCGGCTCCTCCTACTCTGCGCCAGCAGAGCAACAACAGCAGCAGCAACCCACCGACGCCTATGCCCGCACCGGCAATGCCATGCCCAACGCCCTGTACAGTCAGTCGAACTCGGCCACCGAGGCCAGCGGACCCTGTGCCGCTGACATCAAGAGCTTCACCGACTGCATGAACCAGAACCAAGGGAACATGACCATTTGCGGTTGGTACTTGGAACAGCTGAAGGCTTGCCAGCAGGCTGCGAGGCAATATTGAGAATGGCCCTGATGACGTGGTTTGATACTCCAAAAAAAATGTGGAAGGATAAACAAGACACACGCAACCGCAATGGGAACTCTGTAAATAGGAATATGGAAGGACTCTGAAGAGGAGTTTAACTATACAAGAGAGAGGGAGAGACAGCCAAAAGCCGTCACTTGCATTGGCATACATAGCGTGGAACCTGTTCGATTAGACTGTCTAATGGGGAAGATGTTCAGACCTCCCCCGAAAAAAATGATATCAAATCTCCCCACTCAGAAGGGTCATGTCCTTTTTGGCCTATGCAGATAATAGATTCTTCTGCTTCCGCCACACAGAAGCCCACCCTCGACTCTCGTCCTTGACCGACACGGCTCCTCTCCGCCTTCCTCTTCCTCTTACCTTGTCCTGTCCTGTTTTGTCTTGGTCCTGATCCTGAGAAAATTTCACACCGCCTTGGAAATGGGGGGGAGAGAGATCAGGGTCAACAGGTAGGCCCGGCCGTGCACAATCCTCGACGGAGAACACCCCGCCTAGTCGAGCTGGGACATCCTTTCTACTCCGCTCTTAACCGGCGGGATTGCATCTATGTGTCATCACGCACGAGGGAAGCCAGTGGAAAGACTGAATGCAGCATGCAGAATGCAGAAGGGGGCCCGAGGCTGAACCGGGACCTGTCGACCAGCGGCGATGGAGGAGGTATCATCTCGATGGATGATGCGTGCTTCGACTCTCTGGCTTGGGCTGGCTGGCTGGCTGGCTGGCTGGCGCTTGTACAGGGAGCGTTCACACGCGTAGTTCACCGCGTTCGAATCTCCCAACCTCCAAATCTTCAGTCCAAGTCCCCCGAGGCGTTGCATTGCGTTGGACTCGGTGCAGGGAAGGAAGTTGAGGTCGAGTTCGAGGTCGAAGCTGGGGTTTGTGGTTCAGTGAATGTCCCGATTTTCCCTACTCACCCGTGAACGAATGGACAGTTTCAGCTCTGACCGACTGATTGACTTCCGGACAGACAGACAGACAGTGGCAAGAGACCTTGGGCTCGGGATCTGAGAATTTTGAGCCGCTGGCTGGACGGAGAGTGTCCTTGATCTCGGACATGAGAGATTCGAAGCGTGTTTGGTCTGGCCGTCCCCAATGTACATGCCGAGTACCTACCTACCGATCGATCTCATACATGCCAGTGCTTGTATGAGACAGCCAGGTCGACAGGCCGCCGTTGATATTCCGCCCCTGTTGAAGCTTTCTCGGGATATGGTTCTGACCCGGTCCGCCGCCGCAGGATCGCATTGCCATTGTCTTTGCCGTTGCCGTTGTTGGACTGTAATGCGTTGCACTGCGTTGCATTGTCAGCGAAAGGATGGCGACTTGTCAGAGGAACAGAAAGGGACGTCTACCAAGCGCATCCATCATACTAGGTACTGTGCCAGCCAAACTCCTTTCTCCCGTGGAGAAACAAGCAAGGTCAATCCATCACCGTCCGTAACCGGTCCACAGGCAAATCCATATGCCGATGGCGCAGAAGACCGCGCCTGGTACAGGATGGGTCAGCGAAGGAACTGAGACAGGATTGCCCAACAAGCCCGCTCTACGGCAACAATCACAGCAACAACCAGCATGAAGAGCTCTGAGGATTCGGCGAGAAAGGACCATCATTGGACGAGGATGTTGACTTGGGAAAGCTAGCCAGGAAAACTCGGTCAGCAACAGGGTGAGCGAAACCTGTCTCTCTCGGCTCTGTGGTGTTATTCCAGGTGGTTCGACAAAAGGACCCGATGGTTGGGGAGGGAGGCGGGTTTTCCAACGGCCGTACTCGGTACAGTACCTACCTCGCTAGGTACCTCGTTCTCCCTGTTGCATGTACCCAATTCTTTGACCCGACAAACGAGCCGAATGCATTTCCCGAACCTACTAGTCCGGTTCCAAGGAGTGAAAAGTCAGCTCTTTGAGCTTCAGGTCTCGAACTTCAATCGACCAATTGATCTTCGGGTCCTGGATGCGGTATCACCGGGTGTGTGTTTGCCCCAGCAACCCAGGCATATACTGTAGTAATCAAGCGATGGTCTCAGTTCCGCGCTTGGGGGCTTTTTGAAAGTCAGATGAACCTCGGCAGCGTTGGCGGGATGGTATAGCTGTTCGTTCGGCACTGGTAGGGCGAAGTGCTCACCGTTGAAGTGGCGCCGGTCATCATGGCCGCAGGCCTGGGAGCATGCACGGCGCCTGACGGGAGGAGGTTCACAAAAGCCGCGACGGCACCCGGCCGGGTTTGATTGGTTCAGCGCCAACGTGTTGCTGACCCAAGGAGTGGGTGCCTGGTGTGGCCATGTAAGGCTTGGGGGTAGTAGCCATAACGACGGGTCCTCAAGAAAGAAAGGAACAGGATGGATGACCATGCCCGCCTATTCACATTGCTGAACGAACACGAGGATGCGTCCCCACTTAACCCAATATCTCCGGGCCTTGCAGAAATTACAAGGTGAATTTCCTGAAGTGGTGGAGGTGGCGCAGACGGAAAGGGGCTTTCGACCCTTCGTGGTCAGCACATGTTCCTAAAAGAGTACTTGGATTGGATGTGGTTGGGTGGACCGCTTCTTCACGTGCTGACAGTCAAGCTTCTTGGTCACCACCCTACCGGCCGGTAGGGCTTTGAGGCTCTGGAAAACATCTGATGCGAGGGGCTAATTATACCCACCGTACCTTGGGTTTGTTTTGAATAAGCAACTACTTACACACCTGGTTGGTTGGTGGATCTCGTATATCCAAGTGAGGGATGCGTAGTCACTCTGAAGCGCGGGCAAGTCACCAGCACTCTTGGATTTAGTTCGCCCGTCAGCACTCCGTCCGTGAAGGGTGATGGACTGGTGGGAGAGAAGAGGGGTGGATGGGTAGATGGGGTGGTAAGCTTCTGGGAGTCTTTGTCACAAAAGAGCAAGAGTCGATGGGAAGCATGGAGAAGCAGAAAAGCGGCAAGGTCTGTCCCATTCAGAGGAACGAAGACTGATAATGTCAGCAGCAGGACCAGTAGAAGGAGCAGTTTACCGAGGATGGCAGACAAAACACGGCGTTAGGACGGCAAAACGGTCGATTGTGGTGTTTTCTTGGGCCGTTGTTGGCGGTGGGCCCACCAACGTGGTCTTAGGGCTGAGAGCAGACGAAACAAGACAAGATCGTTGCAGTGGCTAAACGGCCGGAATTTGAGCCGCCTCGCCTGTTCGGCGGAAATGGTTGCTCGGATATTGTGTGCTTGGGAGGACAAGAGGAGTCTGTCATCCCTCCGAGTTTCCCCATGCAACGTCCAAGACAGAAAAGTTGAGTCAGCCAGTGATTTTGAATTTTTCCTTTTCTGCCAATGACGGCCGCCAGCCGAGCATACGCTCATATTGGTTCCTTGTATAGTGCACCCGATTGGGATATAGATTTTGCATGGTATGTCGTGGTAACATCAGTATACAGGTATTACTGCACACAGCCCGCGGTAGCCAATGTTGGGAGATGGATACTAGAGGCAATGCTCCTTTCGTGACTCACACTCACCGGAGATGCAACATGGCAGCATGGCAAGAAGGTTGTTACAGTAGATTGTCAGACTCGTTTTGTTCTTGGGCTGTTCTCAAAAGGGCGCGCATCCTCGTGTGAGGTAGACAGGTATGCGGCGAGAATACTGAGTTAGTCAGCAACACAAGAAAATAGGGGTCCAACACAGCCATCAGGCGGGACAGGCAGGACAAGATTGAAGATCTAGGCAGGCGATTGAGAAAGTTCCCCGCAACGTGTCAGAGCTCCAGTTCTTTGGTTCCGTCGACAGTTGCTGCAG